CTGGAAGAAGTGGCATTCAGTTGGTGGATGGTCTGGTGAATACAGTGGAAGACAGAATTTCCAAATTCAGACTCTGTAGTTTGAGCAGCATTGTTTCTTGTGACATGTGGTCTTGCAAGATGATTAGCCTATCTCTATTGACCAATCTCAGCTGCTTAATCACATGCATCCTCATTACTTTGTCCAGTACTTTGGTGCAGTAGACATCCGCTATAATCAATTGACCAGGTTTCATGAAGCTGTAGTGTATAATATCAGTGCAGGACCACCAAACAGACACCATTAGCTTTTTTTTTATGAATATCTGGTTTTGCACTTAATCTTTACCCAACCATTTTGCCGAATGCTCTTGATTGTCAAAAAGAATCCATTTTTCATAACACGTAACAATACAATGTAGAAATGGTTCATCTTTGTGTCATGACAACAAAGAAAGGCAAGCTTCAAGAGGATTTCTCTTTTGACACTCATTTAATTCATTTGGAATCCAGCTTCCTTACCTTGCTGATTTGTTTCAAATGGTCTAACATTGGTGGAATAGTAATGTCAAACCTTGCTGCTAATTCATACATAGGTTGAGATGCATTCAATTCAACTACAGCTTTCACCTCATTATCCACCTTGGTTTCAGGAAACCCATGTGGCTCATTTTCAAGATTAAATTCATCACAACAGAACTTCTCAAACCATTGACATACTGTGTGTTCATTAGCCACATCCTTTCCAAACACTTCATTGATATTTTGAGCTCTCTGTACAGCATTGGTTCTATGACAGAACTCATCTTTGCAAATAACATGAATTTTTGACTTATCTTTGATTTCATAAAAATTTGCTATAAAACACTTTGAAAGATAATCACAAGCCAAACTGTGTGTTTGAAAGAATAAGGATGTACCTTCATAATAAAAAAATAAAAAACCCAAGAAGTGTCAAAGTGAAATGTCAGAGATATCAACTGTCAAACTTAGTACTTAAGGAAATGGGATATTTAATACTAATAACCTAATATAATATTAATAGATCAAGGGGCTAAATATAAAGGAGAAAAAGAGTTAAAGAATGCCCTGGGACTAAGAGATGAGTATCTAAGAGAGGAACACAGTTAGGAGGTTTTTTCTCTCTCTCCATGGCTGGGATTCTAATATTTTGGAAAAGATATATTTGTTGCCCATTGGATGGTGGAGAAGTTCACTGGGCTGTCTTGGGCCACAACTAGTTCATGGTAGCTGTACTGGCAAGCTGGGAACCTCCCTCTGGGATGCTGGTGGGCTGAGGCTGGTGAAAGACGAACTATAGCCTGGCAAGCAGGAAACAACCCCCCAGGAGCAGGTAGATCAAGGCTGCTAGAGAACACCCCACAACAGTACAGATAGGCAGACTTGGGAAACTTGTTTCTGGAGAGTCTGAGTGGTTCACTGGAATCTCCCCGCAGATGTGCCATTGAAACTCCATGGGAAATTGTCTATGAAGTTGTCAGTGTCATGGAAGTGAGCACCACTAGATGTCCCTTCCTCCCTGCCCTTGCCTTGCCACTGCAGTCCCCAAGCCCGAGGTTGCAGACTGGAACTTTTGTTTCATGCAATTCTATTTCCTTATATTACAGTACAGCTTTAATTCTCATGAGAAAAATGATCAAAAGCTGCTAAGTTATCAGAGATATCTCAGTCTCTACTTCCCTTGGTATCCCTGTATCCATGTTACTCAGACCACCATACTTCCACCTTCAGCTCATTCTTGCATGGTTTTGTACTTTAGCTTAGAGCTAATAATTGCCATCAATCAACTTATGCTTTTTATGGGCAGTTTGTATTTAATAAGATATAAATCACAAACATTGGTATCTTTATGGTAAAAACCCAAGTACATATTATAAGGTAATTACATCATACAATTTGACTTCTCACAGTTTTTAGCTTTATTAAGATAATATTGACAAATAAAAATTGTATATATTTAAAGTGTGCAACATGATGTTTTGATATCTGATATACATTGTAAAATGATTACTACAATCAAGCTAATTAACATATCCAATGCCTCACATAGTTACCATTTTATTTTGGTAAGATCTACTTAGCAAGTTTCAAGTATATGTTATGATATTATTAATTAGAGTCAGAATGCTGTTCATTAGACTTCTGGAGCTTTTCATCTTTTCTAGCTGAAACTCAGTACCTTTAGACCAATATCTCCCTGATACTCTCAGACCCTAACCCTGGCAGTCACTATTCTGCCTTTATGACTTGCCCTCCAAATCTTGCTTCTAAGGAGAGGTGCCATATATTTAATACAACTCGTGACTAGAACATCATTCAACATATTCAAAATCATATTAATGTTCTCTCTGTTCCCTCCATCCAGTGATCTAATCCAGAGCCTGAGTTTCATCTGTGACTGTTCTCTCTCTAATCTTCATCCCATATCAATTTCTTTTGTTTGCAATTCATAAATATTCTTGGAAACCTTCTCTATCTCTCTGTGTTAGTTTGAATTCCCTAGTTTGAAGCCTCAGATAGGAATTCTCATGAAAGTGATTTATAAGGAGAAGGGGTTGAGGGAAACCTACTAGGGTAGGGGGAAGAAAGGAGGTGGTGTCAACTAGAATCTGGCTTCAGCCTGGAGCCATAGGAGATATGGGGCATACATTGCACTACAGAGCTGGTTCCACCTTGAGACAAAAGAACTGACCTCTTAAACCCCATTCCAGTCAGTCATCTACCGCTGGTGGGCCCTGGGATGGAGGATGAAATCCTCTAAGTAAAGCAGTTCCCATTGTCTCTTGTGTAATTATCTAGAGATGGGTAGGGTTTTGAGCTGTTAGCGGCCCAGACTCACAGTAGCTGGGCCGTGGGTGTGCTGGCCCAGTAAAGAGGATTTGAGCTGGACACAACAGTGTCCACCACACTCTGCAACCTCACTGGCAACCCCAGGGATCAGGCCTCCAGCCTTTCATACCTAGATCATTACAATAACCTCTTAACTGCTCTTCTGCTTCCAGTCTTGACTCTTCATTTCATTTTCCAGGTTGTAGTTAAAGTCATTATTCTAAAATTCAGATCTAACTGTCTCACTCAGTGGCTTCAAGATGCTTTCAACCTTTCCCCCATGGCCCTTAGCATTAAGCCTTAACACAACTATGAGATCCTTCTTGATCTTCCCTGTTCCTGTCTCTCCAGCTTCAAGTCTTGCTATTTACAAAGTTTTACAAGCTCACTGCACAACATGGCACTTGGCACTCAGTGGGGGGTTCCATAAGCAATTGTTGAATAAATAGATGAATTAATGAATTAATGACCATGGCTGTATTGCACTGATTAGGTTTCCTGCTTACTCTCTTTCACCTCATGGCCCTTGTTCTATATCCGTTCTCCTAGGAACCCTTGTGCCTCAGCCTCAGGCCTGTTCATTCTGCTGACTCCTTTTCATCCTTTGGGTCCCATTTTTGTTATCTTTTCATCAAGGAATCCCCTTTCCTGTTCCCTCAGGTTCTTGTTGTGTGTTCCTGCAACTTGCCTGTGCTTCCACTATCTTACCATTTATAACACTGTGTTGTGATTCTCTGTCCTCTTCTGGGAGTCTCTGAATGGAGCCTGACCTCTGGGAAGGCAGAACCTGGGTTTCTCTTTACTGACCACTGAAGCTCCAGACATTATAAATGCGCCTGACAGAGTCCTTGGGCTTAAAATAGTTGTTGCTCAACAAATAAGACACAGGAGGAATGAATGGGACATATTTATTCTGAATGGCTTTGTGCATATGTGCAGTTACATGTTTTTAAAAACATAATTCAATGTAACAAAAAAGCAAACTGATTAACAGAGAAATGTAACATAAATAGTTCACAATCATAAGATAATGAAATATAGTGAGAGCAGAGAGAATGTCAAGGTTAAGTATTTGCTAATATGCTGAGAATTTGTTTCAATTTCCTACTTATTCTTCAGTGTAAGGGGGCGTAAAAGCAAACTGTCGTTTCCTCAAGAGGTCCAGCTAGAATTCTCCTTAGAGTCTCAATCAGGTATGGGTAGGGAAGAATTCTCGTCTCCTATACCAGTTTTGTGTCTGCATTTTGTTGAATTCATTCATCTTCTTTAGTATTTTTATTCATTCATTCAATATTTACCATGTACCAGACATTATACTACCTTGTGGTAACTATTGTTATCTAGCAGGCAATATTTTATGGTCTATGATTGTATATTTAATAAATAGAAATTTCTGCCTGACATTCAAATGTTCTTTTATTTGAGTCATCACTCTTTGTGATGGGGTTTTAGCATAATAGGGGTGACATGAGCAATACATAGTGTGTCTGAAGCCTACAAGAACAACTGGAAACATGGCATAAACTTAATTACCTACCCAAGAGTGGTTAAGTGGACCATTGCTATCTGTAGCCTTAAAGTCATTAGTAACCATAATGTTTCAAGCACCATATAATAATAATCAATTATGATATATAAAACAAGCAGTTATTAATAAAAATTGTTATATTTTGGTTAGATAACTAACTAATGCATGCAATATTCCCAGCTCAGTCCCTGGTTCCAAGATGTTAAGTAATATAATCATCTGATCTTTTAATCTTCGTTCTGTGGGAGAGTACCATGACCGTTAAAAGTGTCATCATCAATCATATTTTGGTTCTTGGCTTGTCAATGTATCTGTTTTGATAACTTCCCCTTTCTGTCATTTTCTCATGTATGAAATGGAAGTAATAATAGTGCTTACCTTTTTGCAGTGTTGTTAACATTACTGCTCAATACTAATATGTTTTATTATTTCCTTTTTTTAATGAGAAAGAAAGCCTATGAATCCATATATTAGATGAAGCTAGTAAAACTAAGCTACACTTTGATAGAATTTCCTACATATGCAGGGTTGTCCTGGATTAGATTTGCTCCAGTTTTCTGGAAGCATTTCTACTTCCATCAGTGCAGAATCTATGAATGGCATGGCTAATTTTTTCTCCATCTAAAAAGGATGCCTCCCTGAGATTATCCAAAATATTCTTTTGACACCTGCTTCACTTAAATCAGTGTTGGGCTTTAAGCACATTTATTTGTCACCTGAAATAGCTTTCTTAACACATAATTTTCTAATGGCATTTTTCATCTGGGCATTCCTCAAGGTGTAGATTAAGGGGTTTAATAAGGGAGTTATCATAGTGTAGAATATAGCAACCGCTTTATCAATGGGTAAAGTAGCTGCAGGTCTCATGTACACAAATATGCAGGGCACAAAGAATAAGACGACCACTGTGATGTGGGAGACACAGGTGGAGAGGGCTTTGCGCCTCCCTTCTGAGCTGTGGGTCCTTAAGGAGCGGAGGATGACCACATAGGAGACCAGCAGGAGGAGGAAGTTCAACAGGCAGATGAACCCACTGTTGGCAGCAACGAAGAGCCCCAGAGTGTGGGTATCAGAGCAGGCAAGATTGAGCAAAGGGTTCAGATCACACATAAAGTGATCTATGACATTAGGGCCACAGAAGGGTAACTGGAAGATGAAGAGGATCTGTATGGTTGCATGAAGAAAGCCTCCCACCCACACCACTCCTACCAGAAGGCCACATACACGCTGGTTCATGATGGTGGTGTAGTGCAAGGGCTTGCAGATGGCCACATAGCGGTCATAGGCCATCACAGTAAGTAGGATGCCCTCTGCTCCTCCAAAGAAATGTTCTCCAAAGACTTGAGTCATACAGTCATTGAACAGGATGGTCTTCTTTTCATGGAGTGAATCTGTGATCAGCTTAGGGGTATTGACAGAGGAATAGCAGGCATCAATAAAGGAGAGATATGCCAGAAAAAAGTACATGGGGGACCTCAGTGATGGGCTGGCAGTGATTGTGACCACGATGAGCACATTTCCTACCACAGTGATGACGTAGATGACAAAAAAGACAGCAAATATGATATTCTGCATCTTTGGATTATCTGTAAGCCCCAGCAAAACAAACTCTGTGACGTTGTTTCTATTTTCCATGTATTTCATGTGATGGTTAGTTACATCACCTGGAAAAAATTTTTATTAATGCAATTTTGAATTTATTACACTTCTCCATTCTAATAAATAATAACTGCTTGAATTTTATTGCACTGTGAATTATTATAAGATTTTTCTTGAGATGTAAATAAAGATTATCTGTTCTTGAAGGTTACTCAAGTTACTTCCTTGGTGAAGACTGTTAATAGTATAGACATGAGGAACTTTTTTGAATACACAAGTCAAGAGATCATCTGTGTATACTTAATCATCTGAGATGACTAAGAGCCTAATTTGAAGTAATAGATTGAACACATAGTGGCAGCTAAACCTGAAGAGGGAGGTTGAAGTTGAATGTACAGGCCATGGTTGTAAAGCTAAGGAATTTGTTCTTTATTCTTTAGAAAATGAGGAACATTGGTAGGTTACTGAGAATATGACTGAGGATGAAGAGGAATTTCAGGAAGTAGAAATCTTTGGATATTCCTCTAATGAAGGTCTTTGTGAGTCTTGAATGAAATGGACTGAGATTCCACACGGGGGTGGAAACCAGAGAAAGAAACCCCAGTGAGCACAATATTTAGAGTAGTTGACATGAGGAGTAGCTGTGCTTTGTGATAGGAATGCAGAAAAGAATATGAGAGCTACTGTAAAATAATTCATAATGCTTTTTCTAAATCTAATTAATTTTATAATAGTTAATAATATATACCTTTTAATAATTAATTGCCTTGTGCAAGGTATAGTAGTAAGTGCTATGCATATATGACTCCAATTAACACCAGTAACAATCTCTGTGTGTGGTTGGTATTCTTTCATCCATTCTGAAGATGAGGCAACAATATCAGTGGCTAATGTTAATGGTTACTTTAACACAATAATAAGTATAATTATTACTCATAGTATCATTCATAGTTGTAATAACAACATTCATAGTTGTAATAATAATGATAATGTTAACTAAAACATACTGAGCATTTAGTGTGTTCTAAATATTTTTTGCAGACAATTGCTGATTTAGCCCTTAATATAAACCCCCAAAATGGTTACTGCAATCATTTATGCACTTATCTTACATATTAGGAAATAAAAGCATAAGAAAGTTAAAGATTCTGTTCAAGATCAAACAGCTAATAAAGGGCATAGTCAAGACTAGGTCAGATTATACCAGTTAATTTTTTATCTCTCGATTCTGAACCCACGCTCTATATTGTTATATTCTAATACACAATGTTAAACTAGTAATATACTTTTGATATGACCTTTATGATGATAAATGCTCTAATACTATTTAGGAAGCAAATTTGTATGGAGTAATTTCATCAGTACACACACACACACACAGACACATATGCACACACACAATGGCATCTTTGAATTCCCAAGTAGTAAGAAAAATGTGATATTGCATTCATTGAAGGGACTTTTATCTTAGTCTCTCTCTCAGCCTCAGTTCTTTTCTCAAAGCCATTTCAAATAATGGGCCCCCAGACCCCTTGGAAAATTGTTGAAAATAGCTAGGCATATTAGATTTAAAATCAGAAATATATTGCATTAGGATCATGGTTTTTCCATTTGTAACTTCTTTTACCTGGGGTACAGTTCTTGGCACCTTACACCCTTGTTTTCTCATATATTAATATACAGTGAGAATATACTACCTCACAGGTTGTTATGGTAATTGACTGATGGAACATATATGAAAAAATCTAGTACAGTGTGCTGTGGATACACATAGGACTTTCATTTATCTTTATGAGTGTGTATATACCTACGAGATAGTAAGAATTGATAGTTAGAGCAATAACCAGAGAAGCATTTAATCATGCAGCAAGCTCAGGAAGAAGCATCTCCAATATTATTCTCAAGGAAGCAATAGGAACTTATATTATTCATGCCAGTTCATTCCATAAGGGTTCTCAATGTTTGTGCTTGGATTAAACAGCTGATGATTTATGCCATTTATTATTTATATTTGTGTCTTTGGTATATGTGAAGTGTATCAGAAGAATCAAAAAACTGACACCATATGTACTCACCATTGAATTGGAACTAGCCAAATAGCACTCATGTGCACAGATGGAAGTGAGACTTAATGGAAATCAAGCAGGTGAAAGAGGGGAGAAGGGGAGGGGTGAAATCATACCTAACAGGTATGATGTACACTATCTGGGTGATGGGCACACTTTTGACTTTGTCTCAAGCAGTACAACAGCAATCCATGTAACCAAAAGATTTGTATTCCTGTAATATTCTGAAAAAAAAATCCTCCTGATTAGTCTTGATTATTAAGGAAGTGTCTCAGGCAAAATCATGGTGTGGTATCAGACAGCTGGGTTCTAAAAATTGTTTAATCTCCATGAGCTTCAAATTTTTCAACTGAAATTAGGTTAATGAGATTTACCAATTCTCTTTGAAGAATTAGGATGAGGATGAAAGACTCTATTGCTATAGTTGAAGTGTTAAAAATACTGATTACCATGTATGGAAAGTAACAATATTTAATAAGCAGCAGTACTATTAAAAAGCTTACCTCAGAGTCTGAGTATTTAGATGGTCTTACTGATGTTGTGGAGTGTCCAGAAACAATCCTTTCTGAAACTGATCTTTTGGAGTAAGCATCAATGTGAAAGATATTTCATACTTGTGAGGAGCCTATTCAGATAATTCAGTATCACATCAATAGTTGTTAAGAAACTGTATACATTTAATGGGCAGATTTTTTTGTATATCACTTATGATTCAGTAAAGGTGTTTGAAAAGAGGAAGGTATTCTTACAAGTATAAATCTTTTTACTTAGCCTAAGCCTGAAAACTGTTCACAGAAATCTTGGGTTTTGAATTAAAACAGATTTACTTGAAACCCTATGAACAATTGATTGTCTATATCTGGCTCTGTTCCTGCAGTGCAAGAGACAGAATATTTGGAGGAAACAGATATAAATGGGCCACTCTGCCCATGATTAATCTTGCTGTGGAGATGTGGATGGCAACAGAATCATTTTCATCTTGCATTGCATGGATATTTAAAGGGTTTCCATAAAGGTTCAGGGATCTTGTTCTGTAGCTGCTGCTTTCTCTCCCAGGAATTCATTATCTCCTTTGATGGAAAGACCTTGTTTTAGAAGAAGGTATTCTGGAGAGACATGCTTGGGAAACAGCATTTTTGAATGGGGAATTGTATTCCTTACACTTGGAAGATAAGCCTGTGAGAGTCCCCTTTCTGCATCTGAAGCAGGTCTGTTAAGAAAGCAGAAGGCTTGTGTGACTGTGAAGGTGGCATAACTCCAGGGTGTGGACCCGTGATGGAGTTTCTCTGCTGACTCATCTTAGAGAAAGAGCTTCTGTTTTTGTATCACTATTAAACCTTTTCTGGAAACCCACCATTGATTTATTGAGATCTAGAGCAGTGAGGGCACAAAATTAATGGCAGTCATTTAATTAGTTAATTTTGACTTTTAAATTTTATATTTTATTTAAAAATATTTAACTGACAAAGATTATATAGATTCAAAGTGTGCAGCATGATGATTTGACAGATGTATACCTTATGTAATGATTATTACGAATAAATTAACTAACACATGTATCACTGCTCATGCTGTACGTTAGACTCTTTGATCAACTTGTCCCCTTTCCCCTCATCCTCAAGCCCCGGACCCACCATCGTACTCTCTGTCTCTATGCATTTGAGTAGATTAGATTCCATATACAGTGAGATCACACAGTATTTGTCTTTCTGTGTCTGGCTTATTTCACTTAGCATAATGTCCTCCAGGTTTTTCCATATTGTTGCAAATGGCAAGATTTCCTTCCTTTTTTAGGGCAAAATAATACTCCATATTTGTGTGTGTGTATGTGTGTGTTAGATATCTTTTTTTGAATCTCAGCCATCAGAGATCATCACTTTATTACTGTATTTATTTTATATTTACTTTATATGGCTGAATGCACTTTAAAACATTTCAGAATATTATGGGCATATAAACTTTGGTTATGTATTTTGCTTTTGTGCAGTTTGAGTCAAAGTTATAAGTGTGCCCATCACCAAGGAAGGATGTATTGTACCTGTCAGGTGTAAATTTATGCATCTCCTCTTGCCCCCTCCAACCTCATTGTTTTCAGTTGAGTTTTAATACCATATGTGCACAGGGGTGTTGATTGATTAGTTCCAATTTAATAGTGAGTACATGTGGTGTTTGTTTTTCCATTATTACAATAATTCACTGAGAAGAATGGTCTCTAGTTCCATCCAGGTTGTTACAAAAGATATTAATATTAGTTCACCATTTTTTAATGTACTCAATGGTATATATATAGCAAATTTTGTTAATCCACTCATGTATTAATGGGCACTTGGTTTGATTCCACATCTTTGCAATTGTGAATTGTTCTGCAATAAATATTTGAGTGCACATGTCTTTTTAATAAAATGACTTTTTTTCCTTTGGGTGAATACCCAATAGCAGGATTGCTGGATCAAATGTAGGTCTATTTTTAGTTCTTTGCAGTATCTCCATACTATTTTCCATAAAGGTTGTACTAGTTTGCAGTCTCACAAACGTTGTAGAAGTGTTTCCTTCTCTTCACTTCCATGCCAGCATCGGTTGTTTTGGAACTTTTTCATAAAAGCCATTCTCAATGGAGTTAGATGATAATCTCATTGTGGTTTTTTGTGCATTTCCCTGATGATTAGAGACTTTGAACATTTTTCTTTTGTTTGTTGGTCATTAGTCTATCTTCTTTAAAAAAGTTCTGTTACTGTTTTTTGCCCACTTTGTTATAAAGTTGTTTGAGTTTTTTCTTGCTGATTTTTTGAGTTCTTTATAGATTCTGGTTATCAGCCCTTTACTGGGTATATAGCATGCAAAGATTTTCTTCCATTCTGTAGGTTGTCTATTCCCTATTATTTGTTGTTTCCTTGGCTGTACAGAAAATTTTTAGTTTAATCGAAACCCATTTGTTAAATTTTGTTGTTGCTGTGATTGCCTTTGGGATCTTCTTCATAAATTCTTTGCCTATGCTG